CGCTCTAGATTGCATTTCGATTGTAATCGTCAGTGACAGTCTTCGTCGGTCGTTTGTACTTAACGATGTTAATTCGTTCCAGAGATAGAGTCGGGGGCGGGAGCGGGCGTAGCTATTTTGATGCGGCACTGACGAGCCTTGACGCGGCACTAGATTGAAACTATACCTAAGTTACACTGACAGTTGAAGTGCTGCGCGCAGGGTGGGGTTTGACGCGGCATGTGGTAGGTGTGATGCGGCACTGACGAGGCACGGGTGTGACAGTTGAAGTGCTGACGCGCAGGGTAAGGTTTGACGCGGCATGGATGAGGTTTGACGCGGCATGGGCTATGCTTGATGCGGCATAGGTAAGGATGGAGGTTGACATTAGCGTGGAGGCTGCGAAGATGTTGGGAATAACTTATCGTGGTATGAGTGGTGCTTGACCCATCCTGAATTGAGGGCTTGGCACGACATAGTTGGGGCTTGACGTGGTAGGACAGAGTACAGAGGCTGCATCAGACTTGACAAGGTGGGGTCGAGGCTTGACTCAGTGAGACAATACTTCACACTGGTGTCTGAAAACCAACATTTGATCAATGGTTAGAGGTAATACAATACAGACACAAGATGCACGCTACATTCCCAAGTGATACGAACGCGGAGGACAAGCACTGTAAAATTGGTGAGAGGTTAATACAACACTGCAGGGCCTGTACACCAATGGACACTCATATGTTGATCATTTACGAGGATTCAAAGTGTTTGGAAATCATTGCGAGCGACATAAGATGGGACATGAATGCATGATCTGTAGCCCAGGGTTTGTGAACGGTGCCGCGTCACATAAGCCGCGTCAATTTCACCTGGCTCTGCGGGGGCCCGTCCGCTAAGATATGTCACTTCACACCAATTGAGCACCATGTGGAACGTGGAGCCGAATTTACTCACAACTGGGTGTTATAGCCGTCGACTCTAGCTACTAGTATGCTAAGTATAGCTTATTCGGTAGAGCTAACCAGGTTTTGTTCGAAACCAAGGGGGTCACAAAATGAGGCTGGCCATTGCTCTATTTTCCTCAATCCTCTTGCTCACAGCTAATGCAGCATCTGCAAGCGGAGCAGATTACATTCGCGCTCATGGTGCTCAAGGAGTCAACCTCTGGAGGCTCGCTAACCAAGAAAAAGAAAAAGACAGACATATCAGTCAAAAACCAGCTCTAGTCGTCCAAGACAACAGCAACATCGTGTTTAAGCCGGACACAGAAGAACCCAACGAGTTCCCGGACCAATGGTTCATCCAACCCATAGATCATTTTTCAAACTCGTCAGACACATTCAAGCAGCGGTACTGGATCAATACCCGTCATTATACTCCAGGTTCTGGTGGTCCAGTGATCGTTTTGGATGGTGGTGAGACTAGTGGCGAGGACCGCATTCCCTTCTTGGATACTGGTATCGTCGAGATATTGGCCAAGGCGACAGGAGGAGTCGGAATCGTGCTTGAGCACCGTTATTATGGTGAGCTTGCGAGACTTATGATAACTTTACTTGCATTTGACGTGTTCATGATTGCGCAGGAAAGTCTATACCTGTCTCAGACTTCTCCACTGACAACCTGAGGTGAACTACCTCCATACTCGTATCACAGGCATCTAAGAATTGACGGAGTGTAGATGGTTGAACAATGATCAAGCTGCTGCTGACTCGGCTCGTTTCATGGCGAACGTGACGTTTCCTGGCATCAAAGAGGATCTGACAGCTCCGAATACTCCGTGGATATACTATGGTGTAAAGTATTATAATCACTGAATAAGACAGCGTTCCTTACCAGCACTAACAGGGTTCCTATGCCGGTGCTCGAGCAGCTCATTTGAAAGTTCTGTACCCGGATCTCGTCTACGGCGCAATTGCTTCCAGCGGTAAGTCATAAGACCGATACACACAAGTCCATTTGTGAATTGACTCGCCAACAGGCGTGACGCACGCCACACTATCAAACTGGGAATATTACGAGATCATTCGAAATGCTGCAGACCCCAAATGCGCTAGACAACTCGAGCACGCCACCCTAGCAATCGACGCCCTCTTAGGCGTGCCTTATGCAAAGCGCTACATAAAGTCTTTGTTCGGTCTCCAGGACCTCGCGCACGACGATGATTTCGTTTCCGTTTTGGAGGTATGTACTGTAGCCCATTGTGGATCATCCGCCAGTGTTGACGGTGCAAAAACTAGACTCCTCTTGGTTATTGGCAAGCTAAAGTCTGGGACCCTGCTGTAGGGAGCACCAAATTTGACGAGTTCTGTGCTTTCTTGGACAAGCCTATCCTTGTAAACGGCAGTGTTTCACCATTGCCCGTCGGACATAAAGACCGCCTCGTTCAGCTTTCTGGTGGCATCAAGCTTGACTTCTCCATCCTGAACTACGCTCAATACATCAAAGAGGTAAGAACCACTGAATCTGGCCGGTAGGGCATAATTCCTGAATACCAGCAGAACTGCGTCTCACAATGTGACACATCTGTCCAGGATGTAAGCCCCATCGTCGCGTGTTGATTGCTTTCTGACAAAAGAAAACAGTGTTTCGGTACCTACAACGATAACAATTTTCTTGCCACTGGTTTAGACCAGGAATGGCGGTTGTGGTTGTTCCAGGTTTGCACAGAATGGGGCTTCTTCTCGGTGAGTTGTCAAACGCGCGCTATCCTCGAGCGGTTCATGAATGCATGCATACTTTCATTGTAGACCGCCCCTCCCGACCCAACCCACCCACGAATCGTCTCCAAGTTGTTGACGCTAGAATACTCATCGAAGATTTGCAGACAGGTGTGTCAGAGTCGGGTCGCACAAGCAGTGGGGCTCACATAGTCTTGCTAGGCTTACCCGGCTGGGAAGTACTTTATTGTGCCGCCCATGCCCAATATCACTGCTGTGAACGCATTGGGTGATTTCTCAATTGCTGCTGACAGGCTAGCCATCATCGATGGCGAGGGTGAGTTTTTTCTATCTTGGTGTTTATGTGGGCGCAACATGCTAATCCCCACGTCAAGTCGACCCTTGGAGACCTTGTACGCCGCACAGCGATTACGCAGCTGACCGCGAAGATACGATCCTCCAACCTTTTAAGATCATTCCAAGTACGTATCGACAGCTTGACTGCTATATGTACGTGCATCTGACAGCGCTTGATATAGACGCTGTTCATCATTATGATGAGTACGGATTGAAGAATATCAGCGATGAGCCTGAGGAGATCAGAAAAATTCATGGGGAGATGATGGTTTTCGTCTTGGAGTGGTTGAAGGGTTTCAAGGCGCCAGGTTCACGATGATATTTCGTGTATCTAACAGCCATTATCAGAGTGTACGCTTGAAGATATGTGAGTGATTAAGTCTACATCATCCTTGTTGGACGTTTGATAACGTCACGACTGGGGGGTCTTGTCAAGTTGCGGGGAGAGTATGGTATTATATTTCCGTTCCACCCACACGGCCGACGTTGATGCAAGATAGGCATTGACTTATTTTCCTCACTGCTTGGATTACAACTCAGGTAGCAAGGCCCCTTGGAATTGCACAAATATTGCGCTTGATTGTGCTGCAACGATACCGGTCGTGCCTTTGACGTTTGCGATCTTGAAATGGGGTTCAAGAAGTGCCTTCGGCTCTCGTTGTGTTCACTTCGTAATCGATGGGCTATGGCTCAATCTTTGACAGCATTGATTCACAGGGCAGACAATTCGTACTCGTGACCATACTAGCATTCGCAATTCTTCTCCTGTCCTGAGTATGTGCTGACTGTTTGGATGGCTTGCACCCGAAGAAGCTGTCTTGGAATTTGGAATTCACCATTGTGGAGGAGTGCTCATGGTGCATCATGTGGTGAGCGTCCTTCATGATTTCTTGTGATATAGGAAAGGCTCTTTTGAACTTGAATGTGAACCCCAATTTATATGGGAAGACCATCTTTGTAGATTTGTGATGCTTGCTAGGACTCATCAATCAGATATTTTGATTGAGGTGTTCTGCTTGATTTCAGCTTGGTAGAAGTGTGGGTGGGCAGTGTATGGAGGAGATCTGGCTGCCAGGCAAGGCCAACTTTGACTACTGACATGTTATGTGGTACCTCACTGAGTACCACTGCACCAGGACCTCCAGCACTCTCAAAGTGGGTGTCTGTCAGAGTCCATTCCAGCAGACACTTATTTTCAATCATAAGGGCACTAGCACCAGCCCCTGACTTGCTTATTTCTTGTGTCCATCAAATTAAATGCAAACTAGTCTTTTTGTGTTGGTAAATCATGGTTCTACTGTCAATCCTTGATGTTCTTCAACTCATAGACATCCATCTTGACCAATCTTAGATGAGTGGTGAGTGTGACAGAACAGAAATCTGTTGCAGGTTCAAAACCTGCTCAACAATCTTTTTATTTTCCTTTTACCACATTTTGAACATTCACTCATGGATGGATCCTTCAAGCCAACTGGCATCAGAACAGATTTGAAACCTGCCAACAAATGATTTCCCCTCTTAAAACACCTTGACATTCACTCATAGACAGTTATCTGGAGGTCCAACATCTCAACTTGGGAAGTGTCCTGGCCAAAGTGGTTACCACAGCAGAATCAAAATCTGTTGCCCTTAGACTGTGCAGGTTCAAAACCTGCTAACAACAAGGTTTTTTCCTATTGGAGCACACCTTGACACTCAATCATGGATGTTTCATCAGAGCCACATTTTAACTGGTCTTAGCCAAGTGGTTGCTGAAGCAGAATCAAAATCTCCTCTTAGACTGTGCAGGTTGGAAACCTGCAAGGCTTTTTTCTATCAGACACCTTGACATTGACACATGGATGGTTTCCTTGGCAGTCCACCTATGTAGTCTTAGCCAAGTGGTTACCACAGCAGAATCAAAATCTGTTTCTCTTAGACTGTGCAGGTTTGAAACCAGCCAACAACAAGGTTTTTTGGCACATGCCTTGAAGATTCACTTATAGATTATTTGGAGGTCCATCTTAGTAACTGGTCTTAGCCAAGTGGTTACCACAACAGAGTCAAAATCTGTTTCTCTTGGATAGTGCAAGTTCAAAACCTGCTGACAAGAAGGTTTTTTCTCTATCAGAACATACTTTGACATTCACTCATGGATGGTTTCCTCAGCAGCTCATCTTAATGGTCTTAGCCAAGTGGTTCCACAACAGACTTAAAATCTGTTTCTCTTGCACTACACAGGTTTGAAACCTGCTGAATGTCAGTTATTTTTCTATTGGAACATGCCTCAACTTCGACTCATGGATGGTTTCCTTGGAAGTTCATCTAACCAGTCTTAGCCAAGTGGTTATCACAGCAGAGTCAAAATCTGTTTCTCTTGGAGTTGGTTTGAAACCTGCTGACAACATTTTGCAGTGTACTCTAGGTCTATCTTAAATAGGCCCAGTCATTGCACCAAAACCATTACCTTCATGCCTCACAAGGGTCATCTCAGAAAACATAAGATACATCCCCAAGATATGTACATGCCAACCTAGATACTCAATAGACTGACCAAACTGTCAGGATTTACTACCAAACAAAAAATGGCACTAACAGGGCTGGAGACCAGAAGATACAAACTAAGCACAGAGTGAGTCCAACAGTCAGTAAAATGATGTAACCTCCCCATCTTCAACTTTCAAATCATCCTCAGTCACATCAGAAGAGCCAATGACCAAAGGAATGTCCATTAATGAGGCTTCAGTGAGGCTGGAAGAATTGAAAGGCTCAAGCATGGGTGTATATAGCAAAGGTTTTTGGAGATGGGAAACCAATTGTGTTTGACAAGAGGCCTCCTCTACAGTTAGTACCATGACAAAACTACAAACAATGTTCTGCACTCCCTGCAGGGTACCCAACAAGTCCTAGTGTTCAGCACTTGAAGGGTCTCTCCAACAACTCTCTCATCCTACACATCACTACCAGCTGACATACATGCATGCATCTGTATGGAAAGCGGGAGTGATCAGCTTTGTTTCAGCTTTGCTAAGCGTCTTTGTTTGGCTTTTACCTGTCAGACCCCCAACCACTGCTTGAGAGAGCCAATATTTCTAGTGATATATTCAAGGTATATTGCTTGTCAAATTGTGAGCCCTCCAATGGTTACAGATAGTAGCTCAGGGAATGCTGATCATACCTGACAGTGCAATCTGTGACAGAACAGAATTCAAAGCAACTTGAACATTCAAGTTGACCAGTGCAGGATTGTGCTCCTGACATTATGACTGATCGTTCTTGGTGCACCAACCAGCACAAGCCATGTTGTGAGTGTTAAGCCTGCATCACTGCCAGTTTCACTGATTGTCGAGCGAGCATAGCTCCTGCCCAGGAAATACAAGAACCAGCTCAGTTTTATTTCAAGCTCAACATGAGTGATGTCGACATCATGCACCACCTCAAAGACCATTATGACCAGGAGGAATATGGACTCAGGTCTGTGTCTTACATATGTCCAGTGCACATACTTCAACTAATTTATTATGCTAGTGTTGTCAGCTTCCGTCAGATGCGAAATAGCTGGGGCTGGAAACGGACCAGGCAACAGCAACATACTCTTGAGTCCATCGAACAGCATGTCCAGGAGATTTGATGATGATTTCCCCACCGAGGTGCTGAGGCCATTAGACGAGACCTGTGCCAGCAGTTCAGCTTTCATGTACCTCGGTGAGTCACTGTCTACTTGCTAGTACTGTTCACTACTAAATTGATGTTTGATCAGTGAACTGATTGCCAAGCTTCTCAAGATCACAGAGCCGACTGCTGTGGAAGCTAGGCATTGTGGACGTCTCAAACGGAGGCATTTTTGGTGTGTGGGGGTTAATGATGTCTGGCCCCAAGACCAGCACAACAAATGGCTGTGCTTTGGGTTATGGTTGCATATCAGCCTCGATCCATTCACTGGCTGGATTAATTGGCTGAAGGTTTGGTGGACTAACAAGAATCTGCGCCTCATTGCTAGATACTACCTTGACTGTTGCTGAAAACTCGGAGGTATGTCACCAAGTCCCTCACATTGATCAGACATTGATCATGTCATTTTTTGCGATCTCAGCTGTACCTTTGATTACTCAGAGTGATCCAGGCTCTGAAAACTTTGCTGTTGCCAATGCACAAACAATGATTCAACATTGCCTAGATCCAGCACTTGACGGAACACTTCAGCACTGCTGGATGTGAAAGCACCAGAACATCAAGCTCAAAATCATGTGGTCTGTGCTTCGCAGGGACTTTGCTCCAGGTTTCAAGAATATCCTGGAGGAAGGTGTCGTTAGGGGACTATATGACAATAACAACACACTGCAAAAGTATGCAACACTTCCTTGCATATGTATTCACTGACAATCTCCATCTATCTAGCTATGTGTTCCGCAGGCTTGCAATTCCGTGGCTCCAGGCTGAGCTTGATGCATGGGCTCATCGTAGAAACCATAACGCTCCCCGCAGGGACAAAAACAAGATTCTTCCTCATGGCATTCCAGCAATTATTCGTGCAAAACCTCACAAATTCAATTCACTCAACTTCAAAGTATGTCGTCCATGACTGCAGCTCAACACTACTTACTCGTCTCAAGCTTCCAGTGCCAAGTGAGCTCTTTGACAAGGTTGAAGCAATATATGCTCCCTCTGATCACCCAGTCTTTGATCTGGTGCCACCTTCATTTGAACAACACGCACAATACCTCTATGCCTCACTAGGCAAACCTCAAGTGTCGTCGGATTCATTCTGGAATGTGTATCAGATGTTACTGGCGCAGTTCCAGGCAATTGAAGGTGATGAGGACCTGACAGTTCTGCTTTCACAGGGAGCCATGGAACCTGAATACGAGGATGTTCCTTTGCTTCCAAGCATGCAGGAGCTCCCTCAAAATGCTGGCTTAGTGGGACCTGCTGGTTTTCAATATATTGGTGGCATGGCAAATCCACCAATGCAAGCACTTCATGGTGTTTGGGACTGGAGAGCACAAGGGGAGGATTGTGATGATGAAGACCAACCAGAGTATGCAGAGTTTACAGATTCCGAGTCTGATGGTGAAGGAGACCATAGCGAAAATGCTTAAAATTTACTACTGCAGTTGAAATTATGAAATCGAGTTTGTGTTTACTGAGTATCATAGTGCCTCATGCTGTCTCGCACTGTCCTAGATCTCAGAATGGATCCTTTCATGCATGGTCACTGTCGCACATAGAAGGTCATGGCTAATTTAAAATATCATCGCAAGTCCCCAAAACCATGCTCTTTTCACCAAAGTCATCACTTTCGCCATCAGACTCCAATCTCTCTCGCTATCAGCAACTTCTTTGTGGAACAACGGGTAGCCAGTCTGTTGAAGTGAAGCAGGACTGCCAAAGTCACGTGGCAGTTTGAAAAATTTGCAAAACATGTTGCACTGATGTTTCTCCACAAAAGATGTAAACGCAGATGCCAAGTTGCCATCCGCAAACAGGTGTCCAGAAAGATTGCTGATAATTGCTGTCAGCCACTCATTGAAAAGGATAGTAGTAGGGATGAAGATTTACAGAGAAGTCATAATTTGAGGATCAGTTAAAAGATTCCTTCCACCTATCAAGAACAAATAAGCTACATGTAGATGTCCAAAATAAAAACATGAGCCTTGGAAATCTGCCACATAAGCAAGTTTCTTGGTCTTGATGTATTGGACATGTTGTGCAAATGACAGGTACTGGGCAATTTCACTTGATCTCGCATCAAGGTGTGGCAGTGGGGAAGGTGAGTTGTTGGATATGTACTTGGTGAATTTTCCTTGTGTAGACTCGTCAATGAACTCTTCAATTAGATATGTTCTGGTAACACCAGCATCCTCGATAGTGGCAAGAGCAATATGCATGAAGCGGATATTTGGAATCTTGAAGGGAGGCGTGCCGTGAGTCACTAATTCTGTGGTAATATATTGCCGAACCTGGTCCATGAGTGCTCCTGCTCATACACTGCATCTAATCTCTGGCTGCAGCAGCTGTGGTTGCCGAGAATCGGGATAAGGAAAATGCTTGGATTTGTCAGACTGGTAGTAGCACTGCTTTAAGCAGATGCGAGTTGAAGTAGATCCAGACGGTCCAAGGATAGCTTTGTCTAGAAAGCTGAATTGCGCTGCTTTGAATGCTCCATACTTGGGTTTGCTTCGGGGATTGAAAAAAAGAGTAGCCTGCATTGGGGGGGGCAGTAGTATTTGGTACATCAGATGCGCTTGGATCAGTAATCAGAGCAGATAGTGATATGGGTGGGATTATCTGCAGTAGTGCCTTGAATGTGCGAAGAGTGAGAAAGGGTAAGTTTGGTTGGGACACGGGTATAGCTTGTGCTTGAAGTGCATGGCAAAGTGTGCTAACATCCGGAGATACTGCAGCATCCAGAGTCTGAGGCTTTTGAGGGGGTGTGGATGGGACAGGAGGCTGTGCGTGAGATACTGTGGCATCCAGAGTCCGAGGCTTTTGAGAGGGCATGGATGGGACAGGAGGCTGTGTGTGATGGTAATGAGCATAAGGCTGGTATACTAGAGTTTGAAAGAACAACTGACTGATGATAATTTGCACTTGACAGGGTGAGGAGAACATTGCATGCCATTTTGCACATTTTTTGATGGTGACACTGTTGCTGCTGTTACGTGAGGTGTATCCTGGTTTATGTATTCTGTCAGTCATGCGAGGTACTGATAGTACATGTCGGAAACAAACATCATGAGACTTGGACTCAGCTACTTCCTCACCATTTCGCCTCTGCTCAGCAGCAAGGAACTTGGCATGTGGAATATTCAAGTGAAGTTTGATCCCCTTGCCTGCGTTGAACTGCTGCTTCGTGTTCCTGGTCTTGAGGAAGTGGGACGCTATGGCATTGATGTCTTCTCCAGATGGACAGGGAAGAATCTCCTCGAAACTACTAACAAGACGCAAATGTGCTTCTTCAAATGTAAAAGTAAGACCCATGGACCACTTGATGAACATGGGAAGTACAGTGAGGTACACCGAAGCTTTAAGGTCATTGGCACCAATGCAGTAAGGAATATTGCTGATCAACTCGACTATATCCTATAGAAAATTCAGCAAAGTTGGTCAAGT